TAGAATCTATTTTGGCATAACTGAGCAGAGTGGTTCTAGGAAAAAAATCATACTGAATTTCACTAAATGTACATTCATTTGAAACAAGAGCTTTTCTGGGTTAAGCAGACCACTAGGACTGACATACTGTACCGATTACATAATGTGTCTTCAATGTCCTTCCATTTTAGGTGAATTGGCTTTTTAGCCATCAGTCTAGAGCCCACTGTAATTTACTTCCTTTGTGGTAGAGACAAACATGTCTAAATCAGTCAAATTACTTTAATATGTGGTTGTTTTAAGGATCAAAAATCCTTGACCACTCTTTCCAAGGAAACATTTACCCACAGCATGTGGACTAAATCTGCATTTTCATTTATTTATTTGTTCCATTTTTGGTTCTTCCTAATGACTTCATTTTGTTGTTGCTGTTGCTAAATCAACCTAAATTTTGGATCTGATTAAACCCTATGATTGTTCTGTTAATCTTTTGACCGAATACCTTGCTTCATTTTTATACTCCACTGCTAGGTAAAACAAAAAGAAGCCCTGGTGGCGCAGTGGTCAAATGCTCGGCTGTTAACCAAAAGGTCAGCAGTTTGAACCCACCAGCCACACCACAGGAGAAAGATGTGGCAGTCTGCTTCCATAAAGATTTATAGCCTTGGAAACCCTATGGGGCAGTTCTACTATGTCATATAGGGTTCCTATGAATTGGAATCAACTCAACGGCAACGGGTTTGGTTTTTTAGGTCTGGCCAGGCAAGACAACTGTGATCAATTTTAAACTGCTGGATAGTGAAGTCTTCATTCTGTCCATAGCAAGAAAAATTACTTCTTTGCCTAAAGCACTTTTCACACAAAAATATTCTGAACTCCTCTGATTCTCCATCCTTCTCAGAGGAGTCCAGTACAAGTCATGCTGCTGATCCACGTGATTATAATTTGAGCAGTTTGAAAAATGTGCAAATACATTATTAGCAACGTGTTTAAACAGCACCTTTCCCTTAGGTGTTCATAATCCATTAAAGTCACAATATAATTACTCCTTCCGGCGTCGCTATAAAATACATACAGCACAGCAAGGATTACATTTGTCAAGAAACATGACAGTTATGAATAAATAAACATTATTTCCCATGTCTCACACAGCATTTTAATTTATTTTTGGGATCTATGTATCCCTTGCCTCTTTCAAAAAGGATTTGAGGCAACTTACAAACAAATATGTATAGAGTAACTCTAACAAAACAGGAATAAAACCAGGGTGAAAGAAGGTAGAAAAGCTCTTCCCAAACAAGACAAGAAGCCTTAAAGGAAAATGTGACAGGCTTGATTACACAAAAATCTAAAACTTCACTGTTGCAAAAGACAAGCAGCAGGCAATAGATCAAGGGTTAATACCTCACAATAGCGACCGTATAAAAAATACTTAAAAATCAATAAAAGAAAACCCACTCTAGTGTGTATTTTGTGCAAAGGACATGATTAGACCCAGAAAAAAGAAATACAAATAATCAAAAATCTTGTAGGGGAAAAAAATGCTTAAGCTTCATTTAATTCCTACAGAAGGAGTTTCAAATTAAAACAAGATAAGTGTTTTCACCCATAGAATGGCAAAAAATAAAAGGAGCTATAACATATAATGATGATGAGACTGTGGCAAAATGGACACACTCTTACTCTGTAGATGTAAGGGTAAGTTAGTACAATATTTTAGGAGAGTAAATATGCAGTATTTTCCAATATTTTGACTCAGTTTTGCTTTTAGAAACCTATCTTGTAGAAATATTTGTGTATTTGCTAAAAGATATATGTACCAGGGTGTTTACTGCAGCATTATTTGTGCTAACAAATAATTTAAAACAGCCAAAATGTCCATTAAACTCACTGCTGTTGAGTCAATTCCAACTCATACCGACCGTATAGGATAGAGTAGAACTGCTCCATAGAGTTTCCAAGACTGTAAATCTTTACAGAAGCAGATTGCCACATCTTTCTCTCGAGCAGCTGCTGGTGGTTTCGAACCGCCAACTTTCCGTTAGCAGCTGAGCACTTTAACCACTGAGCCACCAGGTTTCCCTAAAATGTCCATTAGTGGAGGGATAATTAAATAAATTATGGCACATTTGAAGTATGAAATATCAGGCAGCCTTAAAAAGTATAAGATGTCACTAGACACCTATTAGAATGGCTAAAAAAAAAAAAAAATAGGTAACACTACCAAAAGTTGGAGCCCTCGTAGCACAGTGGTTAATAGCTCAGGCTGCTAACCAAAAGGTCGGCAGTTTGAATCCACCAGCTGCTCCTTGGAAACCCTATGGGGCAGTTCTACTCTGTCCTATAGAGTCACTATGAGTTGAAATCAGTTTGACGGCAACGGGCAATGGGTACCAAAGGTTGACAAGGATGCAGAGAAACTAGATCACTCATACTTTGCTGGTAAGAATATAAAATGGTATAGCCACTGTGGAAAACAGTTTGGCAGTTTCTTATAAAACTAAACATGTAATTACCATACAATCTAGCAATTGCATTCTTGGGCATTTATTCCAGAGAAATAAAAATGTACATTCACACAAAAACCACACACAAACGTTCATAGCAACTTTATGTGTAATAGCCAAAACTTGGAAACAACCCAGATGCCCTTCAACGGTTGAATGGTTAAACGAATCATACTACATCCATATCATGGAATCCTACTCAGCAATAAAAAGCTGATATACACTACTTGAATGAATCTCCTGGGAATTGTGTTGAGTGAAAAAAATTCAGTCCTGTAAGGTCACATACTGTTTGATTCCATTTACAGAACGTTTTTGAAATGACAAAAGTATATAGAGAGAGGACAAATGGTTGCCAGGGATTGGGGGTGGAGATGGCAAGAGGGAGGTGGGTATGGTTATAAAACAGCAACACAAATGATCTTTGTGGTGATGGAACTTCTCTGTATCTTAACTGTGATGGTGGATACCTGAATATTCACATATGATCAAATTGCACGGAACTAAATACTCGCACACTCACAAACACACGCACAGATGAGTAATACTAGGGAAATCTGAATGCAGTTGAAGAATCATTTCAACATTAAGACCCTGGCTGTGATACTGCACTATAATTTTGCAAGATGTTACCATTGGGAGAAACTGGGTAAAGGACACGTGGGATCTTTCTGTATTATTTCTTACAGCTGCATATGAGAATCTACCATTATCTCAAAAAATTTAATTAAAAAAGTATAAGGTGGATCTGTATGATGTAATAATGGGGTCAGTGACATACTGTTCAGTGAAAAGCAAGTCATAAAATAATAGGGATAATATGATTCTATTTGTGATAAACTAAAACATGTATCAGACTGTGTGTGTGTGTGTGAATACATAGAAATAGCAACATCAGTTCCCTCTGGAGAAGAGGATGGGAAAAGAGATTAAGTTTTTAGACTATATTCTCTTGTATTGTTGCAGTGATTTACAACCAATATGTCTTACTTTTGTAATTTAAGTTTTTTTTAAATTTAAGAAAAGATTAAATATGCTAGTAATAAGGGTTAGCTGATTGCTCTAGTGTGACAATGAGCAGTGTCTCCTCAAGGAAGCTAGGGCAATGGAGGTGTTCTGGGGAGAGGTCAGTTTCTGTGAAAGCAAGGAGCAAAAGGAAACTTAGAGCAGAGTAGAGGGCTGTAAATAGGGGAATGGATCTACAATGTGCCCATTGAACAGAGCACTGAGGGAAGGGTTGGGAGAGAGAAGATGGGGAAAGAGGGATGGGGAGGAAATGCAGAGGGTTAAGTAACAGGGGAACTGGAGAGGCATGTTTTTGGGTCTACCCAATGATGACAGGAATAAAATATTGCTTTTAGTTTGCTATTTGGGGTAGGGGCAGGAGGGTGGAGGCTAATACCACGGGCTTCCACTTGGTTCTTCCTACTATAATAGCACTCCCTCCATGGTTCAGAGAACTAATGTGGGTATTTTGCGCATTATTGAGTATGTCTCTTTGTATTGTACATTCTGTTGTTGTGCCGTTGAGTGAGTTCCAACTCATAGAGTCCCTATGTACAACAGAACAAAACACTACCTGGTCCTGTGCCATCCTCACAATCGTTATTATGCTTGAGCCCATCATTGCAGCCACTGTGTCAATCCATCTCGTTGAGGGTCTTCCTTTCTTTCGCTGACCCTCTACTTTACCAAGCATGATGTCCTTCTCCAGGACTGGTCTCTCCTGATAACATGTCCAAAGTATGTGAGACGTAGTCTCACCATCCTTGCTTCTAAGGAGACTTCTGGCTCTACTTCTTTCAAGACAGATTTGTTGGTTCTTCTGGCAGTCTATGGTATATTCAATACTCTTCTTCAACATCAGATTTCAAAGGCATCAATTATTCTGTCTTCCTCATTCATTGTCCAGCTTTCACATGCATATGAGGTGACTAAAAACACGATGGCTTGGGTCAGGTGCACTTAGTTCTTAAAGTGACATCTTTGCTTTTTAACACTTTTAAAGAGGTCTTTTGCAACAGATTTGCTCAGTGCGATAAGTCATCGTTTGATTTCTTGACTGCTGCTTTCATGGGTGTTGATTGCGGATCCAAGTAAAATTATACATTCTGGCATTGAGGAAAAAGCCACCAGATGGGTCTGTGGTCTCACCGGCCCTGTTGTTAGATGAATAAAGTCAAGATTCCATCTATCATCTGATCTTCATAAGCCCTTCCTCTGAAAGTAGACCTGGATGGCATACTTGGTTTCTGGGGATCAATATAAGCTCAGTATTGTTAGATATTGGATATTTCTTGTTCCTAATTTTCCAGTCACCCTGAATTAACGGTCACAGATTCTTCTGGGGAAGGCTTGGGTAAGTTGCATGATCCTTCCTTTAAGGTTTCTGGGTCTGTTGAACTGGCTTAGGTCTGGGAACTGGACAAAGGCTATGTATTCTGAGTATGGTGATACAAGTTAGATGTCTGCCCAGAGCTAAAATTTTTCTCCTTTTATATGTAACAAAACACCTTAGCAAGCTTCTAGGAATTTGATGATCAACGGGTCATTGCCGCAGATCCCTCTGATTATCTCTTCATTCTTGTGACTTATTAGGGTAATTTCATCTATCTTGTTTCCCATGGTTCCGTTGAGATCAGGGAATCCAATTCCAATGCAGCATCCATCACTGTCATCTCTGGCCTTCAGAGGAGAGTCATCTCTGAGGTCTTCAAGGTGCCTTTCTGTCTTAGTCATCTAGTGCTGCCATAACAGAAATACCTCAAGTGGATGTCTTTAACAGACATTTATTCTCTCACAGTCCGGTAGTCTAGAAGCCCTAATTAGACACAATGTAATCTTGTAGATCTCATCAACATACTTGCCACTAATCCATCTCATTAACATCATAGGGTTAGGATTTATAACACACAGGAAGATCGTATCAGATGAGAAAATGTGTGGACAATCACACAACGCTGGGAATCATGGCACAGACAAACTGAAACACATATTTTTGGGAGACACATTCAATCCACGACACCATCTTACCAATGCATTTTTTACTGCCTTGGTGAAGCACTCATCAGGTCCTCCCAGGGGATATGGTTAGGTGGCGGTTGACAGGTTGCAAGTAATAGTTCCATTCCAGCATTTCTATTTCCCTCAAACTCTAGACTCCTTTCTGTACTACAGCCTTACTACTCAAAGTGGTTCCTAGGCAAGCAGCATCCTGGCATCATGTGAGAGCGTATTAAAAACTCAGGCCCTGCCCTAGACCTACTAAATCAGAATCTGCAGATTAGCAAGAGCCCCAGGTGATTTTAAACACATTAAAATTTGCTTTACAGCAGTGATTCCCAAACTTTAATGTGTATCAGATTCACTTTGTATATGTGTGTGAACTGAAACTTCAGACCTACTTGTTTTCATGTATGATTAGCCATCATGCAAAACTTACTGGTTAAGCAGCTGATAAAATACATACATCTCACTGCAGGGCTTGGCCATACCAGTACTTGCAAGTAACAAAGCAATTACAAACACTTCTTGGTCCTGAGAGTGAGTTCCTTTGCTCCGTAAGGCTGCCTGTCCTGGCTCTTTGGAGGATCATGTGTTATAAATTCTTGCAGTGTCATATCTAGGGTATTGCACTGGCCCAGGTGTGTGGCACCATTGAGCAGTTTCCATTAACCCAGTACTGCCCGACATCCTTCCTCAAGCATGGTAATGTGTTACTTAAAGATTAACAAGCTTGGCTTGTATTTTTGAGCTGATACTATGGTAAATTTATCGAAAATGGGGTGTCAGATGTTTGGACAGGGGCATTGTCATGGATTGAACTGTGTCGCCAAAAAATACCTGTCAACTTGGCTGGGTCGTGATTCCCAGTGTTGTATAATTGTGTACCATTTTGTGATCTGATGTGATTTCCTTATGTGCTGTAAATTCAATCACTATGATCTAATAAGATGGTTTAGAGGCAGTTATACTGATGAGGTATACACGATTGGATAGTGTCTTAAGCTAATCTCTTCTGAGATATAAAAGAGAGAAGCAAGCAGAGACACATGGGAACCTCATACCAGAAAGAAAGCAGTGCCAAGAGCAGAGTGCATCCTTTGGACCCGAGGTTCCTGTGCTGAGACGTTCCCAGACCAAGGGAAGACTGATGACAAGGACCTTCCCCCGGAGCTGACAGAGAGAGAAGGCCCTTCCCTGGAGCTGATGCCCTGAATTTGGACTTGTAGCCTACTAGTCTGTGAGAGAATAAATTTCTCTTTGTTAAAGGCATCCACTTGTGGTATTTCTGTTATAGCAGCACTAGATGACTAAAACAGGCATAATTTCAGTGCTTGCCATAGGCGCCATTTTCCATAGATACGCTGCTGGGTGTACTGAGTTAATGGAAACTGTCAGTAGCACCACAAGCCCAGGGCTGATACAACACCTGCCATACCTACCATACCCTAGTTACACCTCTGATATTCCTTGAGGCTCTTTTAGCTGCACCTTGGGCATTGGGCAGATCTTCTTCCTTTTCCTTGGTTCATTTGTGTTTAAAAAATAAGTCAGACCTACTTGCTGCTAGGCTGTGGTCCTCAGGGGTCAGTGAAGGATCCCAAGATGGCTGGGTGAAAACATGCTCTAAAAAACTGGGTAGCTTTTGGGGAGATCATATCCCAAAACCAAAAGGCTGTTGCTAACTCCCTGAAGTCCTGGAATGAGACCCTCACCTCCAGGTTGGCTACTCTACCTGAGATGCCATCAGCTATCAAAGGGGCTTACCACAAGGCCAATGTGGCCAAGGCTGGTTTAGCAGATGATTATGAGAAGAAGTTTAATGCCTTGAAGTTTCCTGTACCACAGGATAAATATATTGCCCTGGTGGATGCTAAACAAAAAGAAGATGTGAAGAGTTGTGCTGAGCTTTTGTCTGTCTCAAAGATCAGGATTGGAGAATACAAGAAACAGCTGGAGAAGATGAGGAACATTATTCCATTTGACCAGATGACCATTGACAGCTTGAATGAAGCCTTCCCTGAAACCAAATTAGACAAGACCAAGTACTCCTATTGGCCTCATCAGCCAACTGAAAATTTATAAATTGAGTCTGAGAGGAAGATCTGGCCCTTGTATAACAAACTCTGAACATTAAAAATAAGAATAATTAAAAAAAAAAAAGTCAGATTTTAAGAAGGAACCATAACCATTGTACTTCATGAGACTTAAGACTTGGTCCGGGAGTTTCTGGAACATCTGAGGGTGTGGTTCTCCCAGGATCTTTTCACTGAGCCAGGACTGCCCCTAACATTGACTTTGTTTGAGAAGGGTCATGTAGATCTTTGTCTTTTCTTGCATCTGTTTCTTATCATGCATTTTCTGAAAATCTTCACATGCTAGCCAATACAAAATATTTTCTTCACTGAACTTCTGTTTTAAAAACTCCCTAAATCTTATGGTACATACACACAATGGAGTACTATGCAATGAGAAAGAACAATGATGAATCTGTGAATCATCTCATAACATGGATGAAACTGGAGGACATTTTGCTGAGGGAAATAAGTCAATCACAAAAGGACAAGTATTGTATGAGACCTCTACTGTAAAAACCCATGAAAAAGTTCACACACAAAAAGTAACAATCTTTGTTGGTTACCAGGAATGGGAGGGGTGGGGGGGAATACGAAATAGGCAATAGATAAGTGATATCTTGGGTGAAGGGTGAGACAGCACACGATACTGGGGAAACTAGCACAACTTGTACAAGAAAAGGTCATGGAAGCTCCATAGACACATCCAAACTCCCTGAGGGACTGAATCGCTGGGCAGAGGGCTGTGGGGACCATGGTCCCGGGGAACATCTAGCTCAACTGGCATAACACAGTTTGTAAAGGCAATGTTCTACATTCTACCTTGGTGAGTAGTGTCTGGGGGCTTAAAAGCCTGTGAGCGGCCATCTAAGATACTCCACTGGTCTCATCCCTTCGGGAGCAAGGGAGTGTGAAGAGAAGAGGATACAAGGGAAAGATTAGTCCGAAGGACTAATGGACCACAGCTACCAAGGTCTCCACCAGACTGAGTCCAGTACAGCTAGATGGTGACCAGCTACCACCACTGACTGCTCTGACCAGGATCACAACAAAGGGTTTTGGACATAGCTGGAGAAGGATGTAGAACAAAATTCTAACTCACAAAAAAAGACCAGATTTACTGGCCTAAAGGAGACTGGAGAAACCCTGAGAGTATGGCCCCCAGATACCCTTTTAGTTCAGTGGTGAAGTCACTCCTGAGGTTCACTGTTCAGCCTGGGAGTGGACAACCCCATAAAACCAAATGGGACTAATGAGGCACAGCAGTCCAGGAACAAGGACTAGAAGGCAGAAGGGGACAGGAAAGCTGGTGACAGGGAACCCAAGGTTGAGTAAGGATAGTGTTGATGTGTTGTGAGGTTGTTAACCATTGTCATAGGGCAACATGTGTACTAACTGTTTAATGAGAAACTATTTTGTTCTGTAAGCCTTGATCTAAAGTGAGAATACCAGCACAATTGGAAGAACGTAGTCGATGTCACTGAACTGTGCATATAGAAATTTTTGAAATGGTGTATCTTTGGCTATGTATATTTTCACCAAAAAAAAAAAAAAAGGTCGAGAAAGGAGAGGGTTGACATGTCGTGGGGTTGTTAACCAATGTCATAAAACAATATGTGTACTACTGTTTCATGAGAAACTATTTGTTCTGTAAACCTTCACCTGAAGTACAGTAAAAAAAAAATAAAATAAAATAAAAAAACCAACTCCCTAAATCTTTTCACGCTTCTGGTCTTCAAGCAGATTCTCCAGGAGATCGCCTGTTTGGCTGTGATTTTGAGGTTCTGGTGGCTGCTGTTGGGACTCTCATTCCTGCCATGGACGTCTGAGGCAGACTGTTCCTATTCAGCTAGTTCAGGGTGTGGTTAAATCCAGATTCACTTTTAAAAACATAAATTTCTGGGCCTTACCCCTAGAGTTTCTGATTCAGTAAGTCTGGACTGAGGTTCAAGAATTTCCATTTCTAATAGGTTCCCAAACAATGTTAACGGTCTAGGGACCACCCTGTAACAGCCACTGTTCTACAGTATGCCAGAGAAGTTACAGAATTTCAACCTAAAAAACTGTAGGCCATCATTGACTCCAGGCTCTGATTAGCCAAACTAGCAGTCCATTAAAACCACTTCCTGGTGCTTGAGCCAATCCCGAATCCCAGGTGAATGCTCCACATCAATAAATTCAGCCTGATCGAGCTTTACATATGATCTTCCTTGGTCTAATATCCTTTGAATATCCTCCCACACATGCTCCTCAGACTCCTGTGGATTCTGTTTGTCAAGCTTTTGTAACTCTTTCTGTGGATAGGCTATTTCATCCTGGAGCAGGTATTATATTTCTCTTTCTAGGCTATATTGGGATCTAACTGTTGTTACGGGGCTGGAGGCAAGGAGAAGAGAGGAAGTGGATATGGGGAGAAAGAACAGTTGTCTTAGTTCTCTCAGTTAACTACTGCAGATATTGTCACTGAAAAAGGTTTTTTTGCAGAAGGAGGGCTCAGGGGAATTTAGGATTCAAAGTTCTCAGCCCTACCAATGTCCCACTAGTGCCTTCCATTAGCATTAGAGACCTGACAAGTCTGAACTTTTAATTGGCACCACAGCTCTGCAACTGTTACAATGAGACCCAGGGCTTTGTTGCTAACTGTAACAACTCTAAGACAAGAGATTCCTTCAAAGTTGCCATGGAGGCTTCATTTTTTACGTGTGTTCTTAAATATATATTCATAGCTCTTAATTTCTCTTTTTGCCTATATAAGCTCTCTGGAGCTGTAAGAAGCCAGGTAAGTCCACAATCTTTAAAATCACTACTGTTGACAGAACAACTAAATGCCACGGCCACTTGATCTCCCACTGTCTTGCCCTCCACCTGTTCTTCATTCCACACTACAACCACTGATCATTTTAATAATTGTGGTACAAATGCTTGCATAGACAACTAGTGTCCCATTTCCATCCTCTAAACCTCCCCATCCCTTATAAGGAGGTTATCCCTCAGCTCCTCAAACCCAAACCTAGAATCCCATTTTGAGGATCTATTTCCTGGTACCACTTCCAATATCAATTACTGTATCAGTCAGAGTACCAACAAGAAACAGATGGTATGCTCAAATTAGGATAATGTGAAGAGGGAACTATTTACAACGGTGTAGGTAGGTGTGATGGTTAGTCTATGCATCAGCTTGGCTAGGTTCTTGTACCCAATTATTTAATCAAATACTAATCTAGGTGTTGCTCTGAAAGTATTTTGTAGATGTGGTCAACATCTACCACCAGTTGACTTTAAAAAGATTACCATCAATAATGTGGGTAGGCCACACCCAATCAGTTAAAGGCCTTAAGAGCAAAAAACAGATTTTCCAGAGAAGAAGGTATCTTGCCTCAAGATCTCAAGATTACAACACCAACTCCTGCCTTAGTTTCCAGACAGTCAGCCACCTGCCCTACAGATTTCAGACTTGCCAGCCCTTACAACTGTGGGAGCCAATTCCTTAAAATCTCTTTTTCTCCACATACACACACACACACACACACACACACACACACACATACACATACACACACACACACATACCCTCATTTGTTCTTTTTTGAAGTTTCCATATCTCTCTTGAAGTTTCCCATCTCTTCACCTACTATATGCATCTTTTCCTATGGATTCTTTAACATACTTATTCTAGTTATTAAGTCCTTGTCTGTTAATTCTAATATCTGGGTCATCTGTGAATCTGTGTTTATTGACTATTGTTTCTCTTTGCTATGAGCTATATTTTCTTGCTTCTTTGCACATTTAGTAATTTTTAAAAATTGAATCCCAAGCCTTATGGATGATAAAGAGACTTGGGATTTCTCTATCTTCCTCAGAAGAAAGTTGAAATTTGTTCTAGCAAGCAGTTACATTACTAGTATATCATCTTGATTCTATGGAACAGTACCATCCAATAGTACTTCTGTGATGATAAAAATGTTCTATAACCTGTGTTGTCCAGTACACTAGCCACTAACCACATGTGGCTATAAGCATTTGAAATGTGGCGAGTATGACTAAGAAAATATATTTTAAATTTTATTTCATTCTAATTAAACTTAAATAGTCATGTGCCTAGTGGCTATTGTATTGAATAGCACAGATATGGAAACTCAGTTTTAGGCTTTGTTTGGGTGGATCTATTTGGATTTTGCCCTAATTCCTAGGGCATAGCCTTTAGTCCGGGGATGTGGTCCTTCCTCCTAAACTGTACCCTTCTGTGGTCTCAGTGGAAGCCTTAGGTATTTACCAAGCCGCTCTTACTTGGTGAGAATTGAACTCCAAGCTCTATCTCTCCAGCATAAGGCAGCAGCTCTTTCAGCCTTCCAGCTTTTTTTTTCCCTGGGCTCCTTATGTCTCACCCTGCAGATGCACAATTCAGGAGCTAGCAAAGGTTTTGAGGAAATTTGTTATTGTCATAGATTTGGGAGCTCCACCTCTGAGGCTCCTTCCTTTCTGGGACTTCTCTTCATCAATTTCTAGCTCCTCTGGAAGTCCCAACTCCAACCTGTGACTCCTCAGCTCAATAAGCTTGCCACTTTCTTCTTGAAGCTATCTTCATGTACCATGTGAAATGGAGAGGGCCATCAGAGGAAAAGCCTGATAAATGTGGATCTCACCCAGTGTGATTCCCTTTTTTCAAGGGTTATATCTTCTCCAGTTTTCATCTGCAAAACCAAACCATTTTGGTTGCTCTCCAGGATTTCAAAACAGGTTTTGTTACTGTTGTTTTTATAACTTATAATTGTCTTCGGTAGGAGGGTTAGTCAGGCACAAGTTACTCTTCCATTATCAAAGTTGGAACTGATCTGAATGGCCAAAATTAGACACTAAAATACTGAGCTTGGTGGGAAACCTTGGCTACCATTTCCTGAGAGTGAGTTCCTATCAACTCTAAGAAGGAAAGATATTGCAGCTGTCATTTTCATGACTGTATCCTCAGCTCCTAGCATACATTCTCTATGTCTCTTTGCACCAAAAGGGGCTCGGTAAATATTTGCTGAGTGAATGCTGAAAACTGGAAGTCCCCTTGAGGGAGTCATACTTTGAAGCATTGTCAGTTTTTCATAACTTAGAATGGCCAATGCTATCCTGAAAGCAGATTTTGATAACGGTTAATGAGAAAGAGGAGTCCTTCGATGGTACAAACAGTTAACATCCTTAGCTGCTAATTGAAAGGTTGGAGGTTTAAGCCCCTCCAGAAGCACCTCAGAAGAAAGGCCTGGTGATCTACTTCTGAAAAAAATCAGCCATTGAAAACCCGATGGAGTACAGTTCTACTCTGATACACACAGGGTCTCCATGAGTTGGAATCAACTCCGTGATAACTGGTTAATGAGAAAGAACAGGAGGTTCCTGAATATATCCATCTTCTGATTGCAAGTGGCAGAAAACCTGCCACAATTTTAGCTTAAGCAAAAGGAGAATTTATTAATTAGCCTAGGCAAAAATCCATGGTAGTGCTGGCTCCAGGCAAAGCTGGACTTAGGGCACACACAGTGGCATCAGAGCATAGATTTTTGCTTTTTTTTTTTTTCAGAGCTGTCTATTACATGATTAGAATTAATCCGAGCTTCCTGTGTCTGCAAGAGAATGGTAGCAGCTTCAGTCTTGGATCCTTTCTGGTGTTCAGTACAGAGGAAAAATGTAAGAGTCTCTTTCCCAGAAGAACCAGCAGAAACCTCACTGTTTCTCATAGGTTCAACCTGGGTCATGCGCCCATTCCTGAACCAATCATGTGGCCATGAAGTAGGATGACATGATTAGCCTAAACTGGCTCACATGGTCCACCTCAGAGCTGGAAGGGTGTCAGATTCACCAGAACCACATGGACTGAGAGTAGGGGAGGGAAGTTCCCCTGATTAAAATCTGGGTTCTTAGTTACTAGGAGAAGGGCAGAGACATGCTGTGGCAAAAACTACAAGGCTCACTAAAATGCCTGGAGGGGTTAAAAGGTTACAAATGAGAGAGGTAAGGAGCCTAAAAGAGAAACACTGCCTCTTTCTACACTGAGCCCTTCTGCTCAGGGCTGCTGGAAGCAGGTGCTGTGTTGTATCATTGCTTCATGGTTAGCATGCTTCAGGGACCTGCAATGAGCGAAATCTATGAAATTTAGATACCACAATGGTATCTTGAAAAGGTATCAGGTGGAGAATGGCTTTTAATATGGAATCCAAGGGTGGAGCCAAGATGGCAGAGTAAGATGCTTCCAGTGGTCCCTCTTACAACAAAGATGCAAAAAAACAAGTGAATCGATTATATATGACAATCTAGGAGCCCTGAACATCAAAGGCAAAGTTGAGGAATTGGACTTAGTGACAAGGGAGGAAGAGACGATTCAGAAGCAGTGAGAAGTTGCCAGACCTGATCCAGCGGGAGCCGGAGCCCTGCAGGAGCTAGCATGCATGGTGAGGCAAGCAGTGGTGTTTGGGATCCATTTTCCACATGGGGAGAGACCGAGTGGTGAAGAGTCTGCTCAGGTCTCCAAAGCCAGCGAAAAGTGGCACTCAGGCAAAGAAAGATAAGTACATGTGTTTAACCTACCACACGGAAAAAACATCCCATGGGGGAAGAATCTCTCTCCCATTTACCTGCTCCCTCCCCGCTTTGCACCAGGTCCTGGGCAGGCTTCAGTGATTGCCCCATTCCTTGGACCAGAAATAGAACCCATCAAACACCCTGAGCCATTCTCCCAGCCTTGGAGAGGGAAAAAATTAACAAACAGGAAAAAATAACCTGCCAGATACCTTAAGCTGGAAACTCAGGACAGGCACAACTCCTTTGCCTAGGCACAGGCATAAAGGGTACATGGACTTTGAATGCCTTCCACCCCTGCATAGACCTGTGTGGGCCCATTTCAATAGCGTAGGCCCTCATTAGCACAGTACAACAGGGTATATACCTGAAGCCTAACTTCACTTTATCAGCTATATGGTGGAGTGGCAGATTCGAGACATTTGATACCACTCTGCCCATTAAGAAAAGTCCTCACCTACCCACATCAGGGGCCTGAGGACCAGTGGCTCCACCCACACCACCTAGCCACCTGCGACAAGGATCCAAGAATAAATGGTGCCTCCTAGTCCTTACAGCCAACAGCACTGGATGCCCATAGTCTGACTGCAAAACCCACCCCCCTCTGCAATCTAGGGAACAGGGACACTCTTTTCTCCCAGACACTCAGGGTCAACCCTCAGCCCCCTGGTTTGCTCAGCACATGATCACCTACTGCAGCCAGATACCTGTGCCTACTCCAATCACCCCTGTCCGCCTAGGACTGTAGGTGAGAGCCTGCACCACACACGTGGTGACCGACTACCTGGACACCTGACCTGAATCCATACAAGAAAAGTAAACAAACTCCTGGACTCACATACATAGTAACAGATGTAACCACCAGGTGACAGGACGTTAGAGCTTCAAAGTCACCAATAATCAAACTAGCTCACACAAGCAGCCTATTTGGGCATATCAAAACAAAACAAAGCAAGAAGCAAGGACACAGTCAACAAACATAAAATGAATGAATGTAATAACTTAGTGATGGCTCAGAGACAACAGTCAATATCAAATCACATAAAGAGGCAGACCATGATGGCTTCAGCAAGCTCAAAAACAAAGAATCAATAAATCTTCTGGAGGAAGAGAACTTCTTGGAATTACCAGAAGTAGAATACAAAAGATTAATATACAGAACTCTTCAAGAGATCAGGAAATAGATTAGGCAAAATGAAGTACAAGCCAAGGAACACACAGACAAAGCAATAGAGGAACTTAAGAAGATTATAGAAGAGTACAGTAACAAATTTAACAGACTGCAAGAATCCATAGAGAGACAGCAATGAGAAATCCAGAAGATTAACAATAAAATGTCAGAATTAGACAACTCAATAGAAAGTCATAGGAGCAGAATTGAGGCAATGGAAGTCAGAATTAGTGAGACTGAAGATAAAGCATTTGACACCAACTTATTTGAGGGAAAATCAGATAAAAGAATTTAAAAAAAAATGAAGAAACCCTAAGAATTATGTGGGACTCTATCAAGAGGAATAACCTGTGAGTGACTGGAGTACCAGAACAGGGGGGATAACAGAAAATACAGAGAGAATTGTTGAAGATTTGTTGGCAGAAAACTTCCCTGATATCGTGAAAGATGACAAGATATCTACCCAAGATGCTCATTGAACCCCACACAAAGTAGATCCCAAAAGAAAGTCACCAAAACATACTATAATCAAACTTGCCAAAACCAAAGATAAACAGAGAATTTTAAGAGTGGCTATTGATAAACAAAAAGTCATCTACAAAGGAGAGTCAGTAAGACTAAGCTTGGGCTACTCAGCAGAAACCATGTAGGCAAGAAGGCAACGGGATGACACATACAAATCTTTGAAGGAAAAAAAATTGCCAGCCAAGAATTACATATCCAGCAAAACTGTCTCTCAAATATGATGGCAAAATTCAGGCATTTCCAGATAAACAGAAGTTTAGAGAATTTATAAAAACCAAACCAAAATTACAAGAATACTAGAGGGAGTCCTCCAGTTAGAAAATCAGTAACATCAGACAACAACCCAAGACTAGAAAACAGGACAGAGCAACCAAGTATCAACCCAGAAAAGGAAGTAAAAAAAAAAAAAAAAAAAAAAAAAAAAAAGCTAAAACGCTGAAATAGGGAAACAGAGACATCAATATGTAAAAGATGCCAACATTAAAACAAAAAAGAGGGACTAAAAAATGTAGTCATAGCTCTTTCATATGGAGAGGAAGTCAAGGCAATACAAAGAAAAAAAAGATTGGTTTAAACTTAGGAAAGTAGGGGTAAATATTCAGGTAACCACAAAGGAAACTAACAATCCTACATGTAAAAATAAAAAAAAGAAAAACGTAAAGACTCAGCAAATAAAAAATCAACAATGAAAAAGATGAAAATACGTAAAGAAAAACGACTCAGCACAGAAAATTAAGTGCACCAAAGAAACTGTCAATAACACACACACAAAAAAAATCAAAATGACAGCATTAAACTCACAGCTATCAATAATTACACTGAATGTAAATGGACTAAATGCACCAATAAAAAGACAGAGAGTGGTAGAATAGATAGAAAACATGATCTGTCTATATGCTGCCTACAAGAAACATGCCTTAGACTTAAAGATGCAAACAAACTAAAACTTAAAGGATAAAAAATATATATACCAAGCAAACAAGAATCAAAAAACAGCAGGAGTGGCAATATTAATCTCTGACAAAACAGACTTTAAAGTAAAATCCACCACAAAGGATAAGGAAGGACACTATATAATAATTAAAGGGTCAATACACCGAAAGGACATAACCATAATAAATATTTACACACCCAACGACAGGGCTCCAAAAT